CCCACCCAGGCGCAAAGATGGCAAAGGCAAAGGCAAGCAAGGCAAGGGTAACGGCAAGAAGGGAGGTAAGGTCCAAACCCGCCTTAAGGAAGACGGCAACGTTTCAGCCCTTACAGAGGCCATGCGCAACCTGCAGCTCAAGCGTGGCAATAAGACCCTCTGCCTTCGTTACAATAGGACAGAGTGCCATGATCGAAATTGCAAGTTTTCGCACCTTTGCGCAGTACGGCTCCCCAATGGGCAGGCGTGCGGGCAAAGACACCCAGCCAGAGCGCGCCGTTTCAAGCCTCAGCCGGATAAGCCCGGCGCTGCCCAACACCAGCAACATGACAAACGCAGAGGGATCTAAGGAGCAGCTGAACTGCCTTAAAGTGCGCGTTGCAGACTGCTGCTGCATTGGCCTTGTGGGCGCAGGCTGGTCAGCGCCGCCCTGCAAAGAGTAGTCAAGACTTAAGCTGTGCAGGCCCGGTCCCAAGCCCATCCACACCCCTGAACTGAACATATGTAGGGGTTCCAGGTCCCTCAGAAGACGAGCTCTTCAGAGTTACTCAAAGTGCAGAGGTACACGCACGCTCACGCAGGGTCATCAGATGCATCCGCCAAGCCGCAGGCGAGACGGGCCTGGAGCAACCGCCGTCCTCTATATGGCTATATGGCGTGGCTGGAAGAGGACAACGTCGCCCTGCTTCGCGAGCTCTGTGCGCACTGCGCACACGTCGCACGTACTGAACTACTACAAGTCATGGGCATTCTGCGCCAGTTTTGCATCAATTCGCGCATTGGCGTGCAGCTGCTCCATTCTCCCGGATTGCCGCAGGCCTGAAGCAAGATGGCATTCCCTTACCGCAGAGTACCCTGCAAGCCTCGCATCAGCCCTTGCAAAACTCCTGCAGCCTTTCTGTGCGCAGACAGGCAAGCAACGCGCAAGCATTTCAGACTTTGCCAACCTCCTCTGCAAACCGTGCGTGCGCAGAAGGACACCGGTAAAACGGCGCAGGGTTCAATAGCGCGGCAGATCATACAAATCCGCAGTCCAGCAGTCCAGCAGTCCCTTTAAAGACGTCCTGCGCCATTGGCTGGCGTACGATTCTCAGCCCAACCTTTCTGCCCACATAGTCAGGCATAGACTCACACATGCTGACGCAGCAACAACAACTAGACTCTAGACTTGGCAGAAATCGCGCACCGATGCCTGCGTCCGTCATGCACCTCCTCCGAAGGCCTGCAGGTCTGCTCTGGCCAACCCTTTCGACTCAATCTTCTACATACAGGCATTCGCGTCCCGCGTGCAAGACCCAGACTCGCAACTCGCAGACCTTCTCAAGAAAGGAGTTCCAGCAAGCGTTCTTGACGAAATACCGTCCAGCGTGCAGTGGACGCAACGCCAACATGGTCTAGATGATGACGACCTGGAGGGCAGTCATCTGTTGCATTGTTAAGAGAATTGGACGCAGGCCGAACGCAACTTGCTACAGAAATTGGTTGAGCAAGAAGTCACACATGGATGGGTCAAGCCTTTCCAGGGTGGACGCTCCGCAATCGCACGGCAATGGCCCGCAGGCTCAGCAATCGGCAAACTTAATATCGTGTCTGCTGAAGGCAAGGAGCCACGCTTAGTACTGGAAAGCGCAGTATGTCAGTATGCAACGCGAACAACATCAGCAAAGTTCCCGAGAAAGTCTCTCTGCCCTCCAACCTAGACGTGCGCCGCACCTTCAACAACTAAGACGCATTCGGACAGTGGGTAGCTCTGTCCCTAGACTCACTTCAAGGCAGCGCGCAAAAGCATCAAGGTGCAGCCTGAGGAGCACGGCTGCCTGCTTTTTGAGGTCGCAGGCAATCTTTATCACTACATTGTGCCATTTTGGAGCAAAGTTCAGCGCATACTGGTGGCAATGCGCAGGCAGCCAAATGCTCCGCATTGTGCACGCGTTGCTGGCAACTTTTAGTCGCCGCGCGTGGCTTTATGTAGACGACCTCCTGGCCCTCCTCTGTCGCCACAGCGTGCCGCAGCAAGCAACCGTAATGCCTTTTTTCTTCGCGCACCTCAACGCGCCAATCAGCTGGCGCAAAGCGCAGCTCGGCAATATAGTCACCTGGTGCGGTTGGACGCTCCATTCTGACCTTGAGGCATCGCATCTAGCCATAGGCAAGCTCCGCAAATTGCAAGACCAGCTCGAGCAACTTGCCAGGTCAAAGAAGCTCCCACGCAAGCATTTCGAGCGCGCGCTTGGCCTGTTCATGTGGGCAACCAGCACGTGTGCGCATCTCAGGCCATACGTGGAACCTTTATACCGAGATCTCTACTGCGGTACAGCGGCAAAGGCACCTTGCGTTGCTTCTTGGACGCACTCAGCCCCACAGCAGTCTTTCAGGGCCAGCCACTGGGCATGTGGCTTACCGCAGGAGCGCAGCTGCTCGAAGTGGGATCTCAAAAGATCACCAACAAGGCCTAGGATCGCGCCGTCGCACCAGCCACAACGGGTTCGCCTTGCAGATCCCATGCGCAGCGAGATACATCTCAGAAATGAGAGTCTCCGCGCTGCGTTGCCTCTCATCGTGCTTTTCGCACGACCAGCTTCGCTCTGTTCGTCAAGCACCGCAATTGCACTGCGTGGCAGCGGCTGATGCAATGGCCGAGGGATCCACAGTGGGCATGGGTGGATGCATTAGCGCCTCGCAAAGTTTCGCATGGTTTTCAGAACGCTGGGACATGACAGAGATCCGCATGCGCTGGCCGCACCTCACCAAAAACGATCAGGCACACATAGCATGCTTTGAAACTCTTGCCCAGCTGGCCCTGGCCATGACAGCAGTAGCACGCGTGCGGACCAAGCACTTCCGCTTCATTCTGCCAGCAGCCTCAGACACTACCTCCGCAGAGTCCGGCGTCAACCGCCTCTTCACTACCAGTGAGCCGCTCAGCGGCTTCCTCAAAATTGTCGCAGCGTGGTCCGCGCATAGCAAAATGTACGCCTCGCACTCACGCATGTGGCAGGCGAGAAAACTGTCTGGGCAGACGAGCTCAGTCGTAACCGCATATCCACAGATTTCAGCATCGCGCACATGAAAGAGAGCGCATCTCTCTTGCAAGCCTTGCCGCCCCTAAGGGCACCATCACCTTACATCCGCAACAGGCCGCATGGCCTGATGAACTTAAGCAAACATAGCGCCCGCCCTAGCTCTGCACGCACAGAAAAAGGGACCGCGTGCCCTGTCTGTGCTCCTTAGCTGACTTGCAGTTGCTTCACTTCGCATTGCACTTTTTTGCCTGCAGGTACCCTTGCAACTCTGACGCGGAAGGGGTTTCTAGTGCAGGCACACAGAGCTGCACGGGAACCTAAAGATGGGGTCTTGAATCCTTTGCATACGCGCCAGATATTTCCCGTGCAGCTTGTGCCAAAATGAAGGATGCTGTCCGCGTAGTTACAGCCCAATTATACGACCCCCTAAGTTACCTGATCAGGTGCGTGCCAACCAAGAGAAGGTAGGGATATACTGCCACATCGCACACGTATAGTTATGCTGATTTGGTCCGTAAGCCTTAAACCCTAAACCTTAACGTCTTTTGCTCAGACAAGAAAGGGCCTCTAGAGTCGTTATTTCCTGCTGCTTAGTCTTGGTAGTGAGGGCCATGCGTAAGAAACACTGTTTGAACGTGACATGTGACTTTTCTTTTCTCTCATGCATGTTTTAACTTCTTTTTCGCATACATGATTATGCATTGCTTCTGTAGCATGGGCTCGAACGAGCAAGTTTTGGCCCACCCGCCCTCCACTCCCTTAATAATGTTTACGTGAGCTCGCATAGCAGAAAATAGGCGGCATGCATTGCTACGCATAGCTCAAAATGGCGTTGCCAGGCATGGCATCGCTCCGCCACACGTTTCACATCTAGCATTTTCACAGGGGTCTTGAATCCTTTGCATACGCATCAGATATTTCCCGTGCAGCTCGTGCCAAAATGAAGGATGCTGTCCGCGCTGTTTCCTGCTGCTTAGTCTTGGTCGTGAGGGCCATGCGTACGCAATGTTTGAACAGAGCATCTACCTGGGTCACGTTCCACCTGGCGCATTTCAGCTCCAGGGTTGTCAATCTGTCCGCTGCCCAAGCCCTACGCGTTCAACCAGCGTGCCGCCAGCCCACTTAAGGCTTCAGATTGATCTGCCGCTTGCAGTGCATACTTGAGGTGGCCACAACCTATAAGCGCCAGGCACCCCATGAATCATCGGAGAGCCGTCCAGCCCTAGAACTCCGCGTGCAAACGGAGCCCAGGAGCCTTCGTCTTCGCAAGTTTGCTTGACTTGGAAGATGGCATGTCGGAGATGCTATTGAAACAGGCTGCATGTACCAGGATTGCTGCGCTTGCGTAGACCAGTTGATGTCATGCACAGCAGTGTCCGGAGCAGCTTCATGCGACATAGGGCCACAATAGCCTTGTTCGCACCGTTTCAAGCGTAGGCTTAGGCTTGGATCTGCTGGGCTTTTACGAAAAGCCATGCGCCCGATGCTTTGGAGTCTTGAGGAGTGTGAGGTCTGTGTGATTATTTATTGGACGGATTCCCATGCATGCTGTCATGGCCGTCTTCTATTTCGGAGCTTTCGCATTGCTGTGTTGCGTGCGATGTTTAACGCTTTTCATCAGTTCTCAAAGATGCAAATGGCATCAGAGCCGCCATGTGTTGATTCCAAATTTCATGTAGATGGACATTAATAAGTTTCATCAAGGCTTGTCATTTCTCACGGCGTATGTGTGGTTTGAGTTCCATCAAAAGCCTGCCGCAACCGAAGCAGCCGTTTGAGTTCAAGCTTGGTGTGGCAGCACTACAAACATGGGCGTCTTCTCTCACATGTTAATTTTGGTAATCAACCTCGTCCTGTACATACGCACACGTCCGGTCATTCGTTTTTTCTGACAGATGAGATGGCGTTGCAAGCTGTTTGCGCAACTTACATATATCCACATAAAACTATTTGGTCAATTCCGAAGCTGCATAAAACATGACAGCCACAGGGCCACTGCACACTCGCTTGGCTGCTTGGTGTGTGAGCCTTCTGATCTTGAGTCATCATCAAGAACCATGGATTTGAAACTGTGCGTCATGAACATGCCCAGCGGATAATCCAGCATAATACATTCGAGCATATCCTGACATTTCATCCTATTCATGTGAAAGATTTTGATTGTGCGATGTATTTTGGCTCGCAGGTACTGCTGATATGGGTCCAGACGTTCGTTGCTCATTGTTGCAGCCCAATCACACTCGTTTACAATGTTGTGCTGCGCAGAAGGTCCATCCTTACATGCTGCACGATTTTGTTGCCAGTGCTGCCCTCATGCCAGCTGCATCATATCCTGCAAGCAAGTCCCGGTCACCCAGGCTCTTCCCTTGCTACTGCTGCCAAGCTCTATTGCCCGCAGCATCTTCTGCGAAATTGCAGCCTCGTGCCAGGCACCTTGCGCCGAAGTTTTGATGTACCAACGTTCATGTAGTGCACACTCGTTGAACTACGATGATGTGTACTCCTTGGCACTTGTTCAGGCTGGCTGGTTTGGCCTATCAGTTTTTTGCTTGCGGTGTGTCCTGGGGACTCGGATTATCATTCACCCTTGCCGAGTCCTCAGTGCAAGGGGCTGACCATAGGATTCTTATAGCAGTGTGGTCGCTATGGTACAAAACCCTTGCCAGCAGTCCTGCTACAGACGGCACCCTGTAGGAAGGTTTCACTGCTTTGGTTTGCAGTTGTCGCTCGCCTTGGTCTCTCCAGTGGCCAAGGTGCAAGCAACGTTCAAGACTTGAAGTTGCAGGTCAGACGAATCCCAGCCAGTCTGTTGTTGTTCGCTTCGGAATTGTCCGAGGGCGACCTGCTCCTGATTTCAAACCATCCTACGAGGTGAGCTTCGGTCCAAGTCGTATGATGTCACTTTGCAAAGCAATGATGCGAAGAGGCTGGATTGGATGTACCTGTGGACTCTGGCGGCAGTTTTGGGCCGTCTGCCTGGACTCAAAATCGTGCTCAAGGCCATCATCTAGGATCGTACAATTCGTGAGCTGCTTTGAGAGATATGTCTTGCCTCGATAAGCGTGATAAGCGTGCTTGAGAATTTGACGTGCAGTCCTGCAGGACAACCTCAAAGCTGCACCAGGCTGATGCCAGGCAGTGTTAGAAGCCGTTGTGCCTGAATTTCTGCAGGATTTGGATGGGCAGTGCTGGGACCTTATGTGTGGGCTGTGGGGTCTCGTGTTCCGTGTGAGGGGATGTGCTCCAAAGTTCCCTATTCCCAAACCTTCGCATGACGAGATCTTATTGTTTGCAATGTTGGGCCGAAAGTTCTAGCACAGACTACTGCGCCAGCTAGCGGCTAGCACCTCGGAACACAGAGGCCAGTATTTGGCTGTCCCAGCATTTGATTCGCTTGCGAATGTGTATTGCGCTGAAATTTGCTGGCAACAGCATCCCTGACTGCAATTAGCACAGAATGAACAGTTCAGGCAGTGCTTTGCATATCCCTTCATGACATGCCGGCTTGTTTGTGCATGTTCAGGAGTATCGGAGTTTACAAAATGCCAGGTGTCGGCGAGACCGCGAAGCCGATTTGAGAGTGCTGCGCAATGTTTGTCAGCATAGTGGTGCGCTTCTCGGCCGGGCAACACCAAGGACATGACGCACTGCTTATGACCACCAACTCTATTTGTTTTGAGATCTCTGTTGTTGACATGCAAGCTGCAGCTTCGAACACCGTCCCAAACAGCATCAGCACAGATCACGAGTAATCAACCTCCAGCACGCGGGTTGAAGAGGGGCTGGCGCAGAATGGCGTGTTGCGAATGATTCAGGCGCGCGGACGGGGTGGTGCAGGTGATGGGAAATCGTGAGCATCCACTGAAAAGCCCCCAAATCCGGCCAGAGAACCCTCACGTTCGCTAACCGTGGGCTTCCCGACACCGCTTGTTTCAATGTCTCTCTGCAAGCACATCGATCTGAGGCCACCGGCCACGGCCGAAATACTGCATCCTCGCAGTAGGGCCTTTTTTGCAGTAGGGGCTTTGAAATTTCAATCCCGAATTTTTGTTGTTGCTTTATGGCCATATGGCCATTTTGAGCGATTGGCGTTGAATTCAGCTTGCATTCCCGCCTTGCCTGCAGCAGTTTGTGTCATGAGTCATGCTTGTTCGGATAACTTATTCTTTGACGACTTTCTGCTTGGACAGGTGGTGGGGGCAAACTGGCGCTGCTACTTTTTCCTGAGGACACCGGTGCCGCACATTTTTGGTGTTTTACTGCACGAGCCAATGTGCAGTTGCTTGCAGAGGGCATTATGGGCTGAAACTTGGTGACTCCCGTTCAGGGCACTGATCTGAGTGAGTCGAATTTGTGCGGCGGGCCTGTTTGGAAGACTACTTGAAAGACAAGTGTCCTGGGTTGCTCACTCTGCTTGGTACGTGTGGCAGGGAGAAGAGCCAAAGTTATGCTCGCAAAGAAGGCTTGCAGATTTACAGTCAGGCCAGGTGCACTAAGCGAGCTTAAGTTGAACGGCTCCCGTGGTCAGGTGCTCCACCCGCGAACAGCAGGCTTCGTGACGGCCTGGGAAGCATTGCAAGATGTTGCTAAGGACATTCTTGACCTGAGACTTTCCTCAGAATGTCGTTTCACATCTGAACTGAAGGAGCTTCAAACATCGCCACCAATGCTGCTGGACGTTACCATTGCCCTCGGCCCAGCATTTTTTAACCTGAAGACAGTTTTCCAGCTAACACCAACAACATCCCGCCTAAAGTGCAGGATGTCTGTGTCTGTACTGTGATGGCAGAGCCTTTCTTTTGACGTAAACCGCAAAGCATGTTTCATGTTGGCCTTCGTTTGAACGGGACTGCGAGGATCTTTGGGTGCTCTTGTCTGAGGCATATGTTGCTCCCATGTCTGCCAACTTGCCAGATGAGGACTCGCGAACGTGGCGCGATTTGTGTTAAGCAAGGACCCGGACCCTCACTTGGCATGGCAGGATGCTGTTTTCGTCCGCGGCCACATACCAAACGAAGTTCACATCCGTCTACGACATGTTGAAGAGACGCCGCCTTGGTAGTCACTGGCCTCCGTCAGAGCATGATCAAGTCTGCAAAATCCCAGGCCTGGTACTGCTGAGCTTTGCTAGAATCTGAGCAAGTCTTGGCCGCTAGGCTTGTAGCATCTTGTAGCAAACTCGCAGTCAGACCCTAATTCAGGTCAGCGAATTTTTGCCGAGAAAGAGGATAGGGACAACCGCACCATCATAGAGTGCTTGAAATAACATACAATTAACATGGCCAGGATCTTCTGAAACAATTTCATGGGCAAACCGATGATGCTGCTCAGACGTCAGGGCCAAATGCCCAGGCCCAAGAAGTGACCGGGGAGCATGGGGAGCCCAATGATCAGAACCAACATAGTGACAAACTATTCGCGGCAACTGCAATTTCAATCCGAGCCGGTGGCGTCGTAGCAGTAGCAGAAGAAGACGGAGGAAGGATCATGTAAGAGCAGGAAGAATAGCAGAAACATTCGTTGTCGTAGTTGTAGATATGCCAGTGTGCGGAGCTCTGGGTGAAAGGCGTGATTTGCCCTCACATCTCCCCTCCTCCTCCTCACCACCATCATCATCATCATCATCATCATCGTCCGCATAAACATCCATACCATCCTTATCATCACCATCAGTACCACGATCTTCGCAACGCAAGATTTTTTTTGTGGTGGCGGTGAGAAGAAGTATTACTATCAGCAGCAAATGTCCTCTTCATGATGGGTTCGAGGGATTGTTCACAGTCTTGAGTTTGCTCTTTGGGGTTGTGCAGGGTTTGTTCAGGGTTTGGCCGCCTCAATTTGGAATTGCTTACAGTTTAAAAGTCAGCATTTGGGGGTAAGGCTTGGGGTTGTTGAGGGTTTTCCCTCAAAAGATGCCCATATAGCCCCACTTCTGCTATATCGGTCTGTATCGGCCTTATCAGGGCCCTTGTGGGGAGAACCCGCATGGTGACTACCCACATGGAGCTGTCCTGGAAAGCCACCTTAATGAATCTTGTAAGCTAACATGGAGTTGCCCAGGGCACAGGACACCCCAAACAGGGTAGCACGTTTTCTCGTCTTAGAGGTTACAGCAGTTTTGGTCAAGGGCTGAAGTTTGTTGTCACTTCCCACACACCAATTTCCATCTGCACCACATGCCGAGGCTTTCACATCGGAGGGCTCCATCGAATTGGAGGATGTCGGTGGTGTTCAGACGAGGCTTTTATCTTGTCATGCAAATAGATCCGCCTTGCTCTCTGGTTGTTTTCAGAACGCCAGGATCCTCGCGAGTTTAATTGCCGTCCTGGCAGTAGAGGCTCCGGGATGCTGGCATGTACACGATCCAAGCATTGCTGTTTGTGAAGTGGCGAGCTTTTGTTTTCGTCATGAACTCTTTGACATGTTTTTGCTTTCAGCTGAGAGGACATGCGCACGCTTATTTACATAGTTTCTGCAGTTTTAGGTGAAGAAGCCAAGAACATCGGAAGAAGGCCACAGACATTCATGACTCATGACCTGTAGATTCGAGTACATTTGTCAAAATCAGGCCAATGATGAAGGTTCGCGCTTCGCGTGTGGGTGTCTCTGTTTAGTGAACCTGTGATTCAGGGCTGGCAGAGGCACCAGCTCTTCTACTGCTTGCGGCTTATTTTACGATGTTGAGGGCGCGCCATGGACGCGGGCGGACAGCCCCCGTGGAATGTACCGCGACTTCGTCGGCATCAGACGCGAATGGGCTGCTGGAAAGATCACATGCGCTTTTCACAGAGCTGGATACTATTGACCAAGTTTGTGGCTTCCGGCCGGAGTTCATGTTTGGGGCGCTTGCCAATGACATGAAGCGTGTCCAGGACATGATACAGAAGCATGCAGCAGATATTTGCAAACTTGGGGAGCAGGAGTGCAATCAAAACCAAAGCTTTGACATTCCGAGCCCTGATGTCCTTTTTACGACGATCGACAGCTTGAACCAGAACGCGCAAGGCTCTCAATCTTCTGCCGCAAGCGAAGCCTTTACAGTAGCGCTGAAGAGCTTTGAGGCAACACTGCTGAAAGTATCAGACGACATGCTGCATCTTGATACAGCGACACTGCCTCCGGGGACTATGCCATCAGAACCGGAACTTCAAGGACCGATCGCCCCAGAGCACATTGCCGTCATCCGCTCCTCCCTGCAGCAGCTCTGTGAGACAGAAGCGTCGCGCTCCTTGGGAAACGAAGCCGCAGCCTTTGCCAACCTCTTGGAGTTCCGTTTGAAGAGTGCCCTGGCTATTCTGACTCGCGGCAAGCGTTTGCCATTCTCGCGTGACAGGGATGCAGCCTGGTGCCATCGAGCACTTCAGGGACTTCAGAGACGAGACGTGCCCGGACGTGGTTCATCAAAACCAAGATTGTCGCGGTGGGCTTGCGAGCCACGTCTTGTTCACCAGAGCGTGCGGCAGCTTGTGAAACCCTGGCTGTTGCACAAACTGGCTTCCACAACACCTTCGAAACACCGAACCCAGGCGGCACTCTTTCGTAGAGTGCCGTCAGTTCCTGCTGAGAGATCTTCTCCTGCTGACAGGCTTGCTTTGAGCGCAGCTGCTGCTGAAGCTTGGGTGAGCTGTGTAGATAGAAGTGAGTTTAGTCGACGACTTCCTAAAGAAGTTTGCGGTATGCCTCAGTCAGATCTTGTCGCTTGAATTTCGGCGACGCAGCCGTGACGTTTGCAAAGCGTGGCTCAAGTACGCCCGCACACTTCAACTTGTGGTGGCAAGCTCTGGGGGTACTTCGGCTTTCAGTTGCAATGAATCTTATCAGCAATTGGCTATCTACTAGTGTGTCTGGCATGCCGGGCTGCTTCCAAGCTTCCTTCAGCCTGACAGCACCATGTCCACCAAGTGGCGTGATGTCTCGCAGATTGACAGCTGAAAAAACTGCAGGGTTGTGTAAGCGATTTGGCTCACCTTGATCTTTGAAACCTGTCCGTCTTCATCTTAGAAACCTGCCAGCAGGCTTGGGGTTGGATGCTCTTTCGCTGGTTTGGGGGCAGCTGCTCTCTCTTGCTCATCCTGGTGGCCGAACTCCTCAGTTGAGCTGAGCTTCGGATGTCTGTAGCTATGCCAGCTTGACGAGGCATGTGCCTGCTTTGTCGTTCTGGGAAAGACCACGGGTGGCATTGACAAGGCAGCTTGGCTTCCGGCCAGTGCAGCCTTGCAGTGTTTCTTGTGATCGGGAGGTAATCCTGCGACATGCCGAGCAGCATCCATCCAGACAGCGTGACCTCATCAGAAAAAAAAAGCGTTGAAAGAAAAGCAGACGTCGATTGCAGAGTTTCATGCCGCCTGTGATTTGAAGATGTTTGGGTTGATCTGCTTCTAGTGATCCTGTTTCAGCAGGCAAGATATCATCCTGTAGCAGCCTGGCGTGGGGCAGTCCCTTTCATGCAAAACGCAGATCACGTCTCCGTGCACATCCAAGTGAGTTGGCAGCGTTGTCAGAATTTTGCAAAAAAGAGCTGCCCGCCAACTCCACTTACTGCGACAATGTGTCCAGCATGTACACCAAGTCAGAATCGTTTTTACTGTGTAGCATTACACCGTCCACAAAGCGGATATTTGTCAACCGCTCAGAATGGCAACCGCTCAGAATGGCCAATGTGAAGCCCACAAAAATTCAAGCGATTCTTCCATGATTGCACAGCTTCTTCAAGCCCGCCGTTGAAAAGCAACGGGCCCAATTTTTCCCCTTCTGCAAGCTGCTTGCAAACATGCAACTGCCATTCAGCAAACCTTCTTGACCAGCATACGTTATCTTCCAAAAGCTGCACGTATGATGTAGGGAGTCCTTGTCTTGCAAGTGCACGAAACAACGTGTTGTGTTCTAGGTAGTCGAAGGTTTTTAGAACTCCACACTAGCAAGCCATACGACCATATGATTCATAGTTCCCTTCAATGGATTGGCCACAAAACTGGTCAGCCCTAAGCTCCGTTGCTCTGGCTTTGTGGGTCGGATTCCCCTAAGGTTGGGTTTCCCTTTCTTGACTTTCCCCCGTAACAACTTAAACCTTGCTTTTGTGGTCTTCTTCTTGAATCAACTGGGGATTGTCATTTCAACTGATTATCAGGTCCGCTTTCAGTCTTGTCGGGAAACAGATTAACTTCAGGGCTATCTATTGGTAGATCCATGTCCGACGTGCCGCCAGAAGAGGATTGTCTTGACATTGAAAACCCGCCCATAGCGGCACGCAGACGCGGCATCAAAGGCGGCGAGGCCGCCAAACGCAAGAGATAGGCTTACATAAAGCCATTTTATGGGTTACGCCGGCAGCAGACCCAAGATTGGTGCCTGTAATTCACACAGGCGGCACCCCCTTATACAAGTCGGTTCTGGACGCTGCATGTCCAGATTCGGAGGAGGAAGCGGCTACGGGTGAGGAAGGGGTGATTCCTGAAGAGGATTTCGAGGAGGTTGCGATTGAGGAAGAGCCAGCAGCTTCTTCTTCGGTGCCGGTTCCGTCAACTCCAAAGGTAGCCAAGACTAAATTGCCGCCAACTTCGAAGATCGCAGAAGCTACTTTGGCTACAACCCCGAAAATCTCGAAAGCTACTTCGACTTCATCTCCTACTATCCCCAAAGCGACCGGTAAAGTCGGTCGTTCCCCGAGGCTCTGTGGATGGGGAGAGATACCGCAGAGGTTGGCTCCGCAGCCTCACCTTCTCCACCCCGTCCATCAAGAGCAAATTCCTCTGCACCATTACCAGAAGGCGAGACCAGAAGTATGCGAGCCCAAAGGGCCTCCGCCTAAGTCAGCGCTTGAGAAATCCAGGCGAAAAGTTCGTGAACCGCAAGGCCCACCGCCTTGCATTTCGATGGGTCAAGGGTTTTGTCGACCCGGGCACATCGACAAGGGTGCTCATCCCTGCAATACTGCAGAGGCAGTACAAGCATCAGTGCTCGCCTTGGATTACCATTGACCGTATCTGGCGAGAAGGACAGCCACACCCTAATCAGCGGCCAACGCTGATACTAGACCTGCGATCCTTTCTCCAGTGTACGGCATCCTTTTGCAAGAAGCATAATGTGTTGTTCGCAATGCCAGGCCCTGTCCGCGTGTCTTCGTCCGCGATTGAGGAGTATTGCCCCGCGACACTTCGCAACAGTACGGAAGACTGGTCCTTCGATTTGCTTGACCTCTGGGTGATAACCAGGTCGAGGGAGGGTCAGTTGGGGAAGTTGTGAACTCTTTCCAAGTTGTTCCCCCACTGTGCCATGCAATCGTGGTCGACACGTGTTGCGTTTATCCAGAGTGGGAACCTTGCTACCCACATTAGGCTCCCGAGAAGGGAGGGAGTGGAGGGGTGCAGATCCTACGGGAGTATCCTTGAAGCAGAAGGTCGCATACGTGCCTGAATCCGCTGAGCTTTGAAAGGTTAACCGCTAACGAAGTGGTTCATTGTGCCGGTGTCCCGCAATCGGTTGCTGCGCGCGCTGGACTCCGCAAGCCTCAGGTTGATCGGTTGCGTTAGCGCCGCAACCGCCGTGTAGTGTTACTGGTTGATCACTGAGTATTGTTTTCATAAGTAATCCTAAGCCCCATTTTGGTCCTGCTCGCAGAAGAATAAGGCAAGGCCAGGAACTATTACAACGACGGCTACTTCTGTGAGGTTGTCGAAGAGGGCAACCCCCCCTCAGGTCGATGTTGGCGAGCGCGAGGTGTCCAGCGCTCACGACCTTTGGCCAAGAGCAAGATGGCAACCGCCGATACCTTGAATCATGCCAACAAGCTTGTTCGAGAGGCCAAGAGGACTTCGGACCAGGTCTTTGTGTTCCATGCCCACGCCCGAGAATGGCGAGACTTCTGCGGTGGTTTGGGCATATGCGGCTCAGAACAGCCGCCCTCGGAAGGGCAGTACGTGGACTTGATTACTTGTTTAACTTCAAAGAAAAAAGAAGGAAAGCCTCCGGTCAAATGGTTCCGAGGTTCAAGCGCGCAATCACAATGGGAGAACATGTTGTGTACCTTATCCGCAGCAGGTGGATGGAGATCCATGGCATCACCCCTGTCTGCGGCCAGCAAGACGAACAGGTCAAGACCTACACTGGAGGCATTCTGGTCATGGGCTCTCGCGGGACCTACGAAACACAAGCGCTCTACATGGACTTCGTAACTCCTGAGCCGGATACGAAGTGGCTGTGGCCGTCATCCAGGCCTTGAGGTGAACACCAATTGAGATGGGTGGCTGGCAGTGGGATGTTGGCTGACTCCTTCACCGAGGATGACCCAGACTTTGTTGCTGGGAGAAAGCTGCGCAAGAGGCAGCATGAGAAAAGAACCCAAGAAAAGGCAGACGCCTTTCTTGGCTAAACTTGAAATTTTCGTTCGGGAAGAAAAGTCTCCGTGGGTGGAAAACCATTTTGCACCTGCAGAGGAGGATGTCATGCTGGAAAGGCTCAGGAATGTTGCCCATGTGTTTCAAAGGTGACATGACGGTTTGTGCAGTGAACATTTCTGTTCCATACAGCAGAAGCTCGAGCTGCGGCCGCAAGAGTTACGGGAGAGGTGGTTTTGCCTGGGCGTGGGAGCCCCTAGCATAGCATAGCTTGGCATCTGCGCCGATTGCAGCATGCTAAGCGCGTGGGCAGTGGAAGCCGTGAGAAAAAATGTGTCGACAATGTAGAGATGCAACCAGCATCTCCAGAAGTCTCAGAAAAAAGAAGTCCTATAATACGGGTTCTGGCATAGGATGCCAAGTTGGGTTTCAGTGTGCCGCTGGTGCAGCTGACAACATCCAAGATTTTCTGGTATGGAAGTCTTTGAAGCCCGCAGAAAGATGGGCAGAAATTATATACCTTTGATTTAATTTTCGACGTTGCGTGCCAGAGGTTTCGTCCCCGTGCTTGCGACAACATGGACTCGAAAGCATCGATTGACTCGTGCTCTTTTGACCCCGCAGCATAATGCTTGAGTTGTGATAATTTGCACAAGGGATCAGCAAAATCGCCTGACACAACTGCATTAATTGCCCCAGCTCAAACTTAGCATGTGGACTCGAATCTCCGCATTTCCATGTAGCAATCAGAACACGTTGATGCATTGTGCGGACATACTATCCATGTGGGATCTTGTGGGATAAGCTGGATGCCCATGGAAACAGACGATGGAGAGTCGCTGGCGCCTAGCGTGGGGTGAAGCCAAAGCCTCGAGGGCAGCTAGCGAGGTGGGGACCAACAGAGTGGTCCAGGCCCAGGTGCTTTTTTGCGTAGTCGCACGAAGGTACTGGGCCCGCAGCTCGAGGATGCGAGGACGGGCCAAGACTTGAAATATGGGAAGTGACGGAGCTTGCCGGTGACTTATCCTGCTTTGCTGGTTGTCCTTTGGATGTCACGAAAGCTAGCTCCTTGGAGCTTGCGAGAGTTTCTGTTTACCAATATTGTCTC